CGCAACTTAAAGTTATGACCATAGTGAAGCCGGGAAAGGTTGCATATCTTGGCCACATATTTCGCAATACCAAGTACGAATTACCGCAGCTGAAAATGAAAGAAAAGATCGAGGGAAAGCGTGATAAGAACAGAAAGCAGGACTGATTGCTGAAAAACATCAGGAAAGGGACCAATCTAGACGCCCAGACAATATTTATAGCCGCACAAAATCGAGATGAGTTTGTCATAATTGCTGCCAACAGTCATCAACATGAATAAAAGCCTTTAGAAGAAGAAGATTAAGGCATTGCCTAGAGGCATGGAGCTTTTTCTTCAATGTGATTAACTTTGCCACACTTTTTCAAATATAAACAGTAAGAATTGACTATTCACACGCTATATATTCAATGTCTTTGATCTTCTTAAGGTGCCACTTAGATTCCTGCGTAGGCGTCCTGCGTTTTCGTATCATATCATTCTGTTCACTGCAGCTTCTTAAAGCGACTGAAAGTCTGTTATTTTCATCCACTGGAGGATGTTCCGGGGCCAAGATAATTTCCTCCTTCTAATGCCTCGCTTTCCACCTTCTGTCTTCCCCTGCAATATCAGGCGTTGGAGGTCATGCCGCTCTCCAAGCTCAATGTGTCTCAGGTAAGAGATCCTTCGTTTTTTAATATGTTGGAAGAGTTCTCGACCTTCCAATCCAGTCATCCTGAGCACATCGGTCGCAGCATCCACATCTCAAATGATTTTTTATTAGATTGATGGTCGTTGCTTCAAGTGTTCAAGTTTCCACTCCGTATAGGAGATTTTAAAAAGTTGCTTTTGCTTTTTCGATCACCTAATTTCACGTTTTGGGTCCCACTGGTCGTCCAGAATATGCCTTAGGAATTCAAACTTATTGACTCGCTCCTTTTGTTCCCCACTAAGTTGAAGTGACACGTTTGGCAAGATCTCTCATAAAACAACCATTAGCTGTAATACCAATGGGCTAATCAAAGACTGCCTCAATAATAGGTCTTTCCACTCAGACACTAAAGAACATTTGAGCACAGAACACATCCCTGTCTGACTCCCTTCCTTAGCCAAAGTGTCTCAGTTGTCAATGCCTTCATCTTCAATATATTTGACTGTTGAATATTTTCAGAAAATCCAAATTTAAGTAAGCAAGTATAAAAAATAGTTGTTAATATCCTAGTAACATTTCGTACTTGAACTATGTCACGGAATTGCCTAAATAGCAACAGTAACGGACACCTGTGTACTCTTAGAAGCACTTGAATAGTATCTCAAGATCTAGCTGTACAAAGAAACTGAATGTAACTTTGACAACCCCGCTATAACCTTCGATGATATTAAAGACGATATCAAAGTAGTCAAGCATGGCAAGGTAAACAATACTAATTACATAATTCGATTGTCGTATGCATTGAGCGTGGTAAAGAGGAACACCGTCATTACGTATTGCCATTGGACAAGTCCCCGTCATATGTGGTCGTGCATAATGATATCAGCCGAACTGTAATTAATTTAACCGGTTTAATCGTATAAACAATTTCCTTATATTTTTTACCGATCTATCTATAGGGGATAGTTGAGTAATAAATAACAAAAAAACAACGGCAAATAATCATCGAGCAAATTGATTCTGCGCGCTATTTATTATACATAAAACGATTAGAAAACCCGAATAGGTTTATCAAAACTCGTGTTTTTTGTATTTATTGCAGGACATAAATTTCGAATTTTAATTAATTAATGATTATGCAAAATGCGTTTTAAATTAACTGGTAATCGCGGTAGTCATTGGGCTACCGACCAGAGGTGTTCAGAGCTTTGCAGGAAACTGGTTCAATCGAACGTAATTCTGTAATTAATTGAAAAGAAATCGACAAATATTTTATTAATAGCTGAAATAAAAAAATATTCAAATTAACATTAGATCATTTGAAACAGCTCTTAAAGGTAACAAAAATGTATTGCTCAGAAATAATTATGAAAATGTGCCTCTACAATAACTAACCAGAATTAAAAGCTGTAAGAAATTATGCAGACAAGTTTCAAAAATTCCTGAAAATTGGAAAATATATTTAATGAATAACTTCGAACAAGATTAATTAATTAGTCCTTAAAGGGACATATTTTTTTCATTTCATTCCGAGAACTCACCAATTTAAAGTTCTTCAATTTCAGCGGTTGTCAGGCAAATAGTATTTATATGTTTTACTAGAAAAACATTGTCATTATTTGGAGAACGTTGTATCGTCACAATAGTGACTAGAAACTACTTTACGATTTGCTGAAAATGACCGCCCCGAATTTCGATGCAATAATAGAGATTTTGAACAAATCGATCACGCACGTTTTGGAACATTTCACAAGTTATCAGTCAGCATTTAAATGTAATCTGTTCGAGTAATTCATCTGGTTAAATATGCTAGTTGCACAGACAGTAATACATAGACTGTACTTCTAATATGACCTCACAGAAAAAAGAAAAAAGTCCGAAAGTGTAAGATCCGAGGATCGTGGGGGCCATTAAATGGCGCCCCTTGGTCCAATCCAGTCGCCAGGAAACGTGTTCGTTTCCAATCGTTTTGTTTCTGTTAAAACGTTATAGACACGAAATATCTACCATTTATTTTCCGTTGCCCCACCCTGTATATTCAGGTTTTATATAAAGTCGCCTTTTTTAATTAAATGCTTGTGTTCTCAATCGGTCGCATTTGATTTTGCTTGGTAAAAATTAAATAAATTTTATATATTATTCAAAGGCAGTTTTATGGAATTCTTGTAAGGCAATAAAATCATGTAATTCTTGTATATTTCTGTAAAATTTAAGATTTAGGTACAATAATATAGGCCTGGGGTTTTAGGAGTTGGCGCAGTGCTACGCAAAAGGCTTGGTACGCCAACTCAACGCACCGGCGCCGTAACTCAGTTCCATTGCTGGGAAAATGTTGATGACTTTTTTTACTTTTTTAAGATTTATTTTAAAGGCCATTTATTAATTATGTTTTTAAAATGTCTTCAAGTTTCAGAGTTTTTCAGTTTTAGCCAAGTTATGCTTTCTTCTAAATGCTCAATTTTCTAAAGTTTCACTTAAAAATGCTGATAATGTCAAGGTATTTTCCGCGAAAAATTATGAAATAAATTTCGCATCCTTCGTCGCTTTGTGAAAAGTTTTGTAATCCCTTTTCCGCTTCGAATTTGGAGCAAAAATCAAATAATTTTCTATCAAAAAACGAACAGAATAAGCGAAAGCGTATAACAGATTATTTGGAAATCTCGTCACCTCCATTCCGCCGAACACTGTGGAATATGTTAAAAAATGTGTTTTTTTTATCTTTGACTGAATTTTTTTTGCTTTACTTTCTATTCAAAAACGCTCTATTTTGTAGAGTTTTACTTAAAAATTCTGACGATCTGGAGGACTTTTACGCAAAAAATTACGAGATAAATTTATAGCTATGTAAAAATGTTACAAAATGTTTTTTCAGTGTCAAATTCGGGACAAAAACGAAAATAAATTCCTCCCGTTTTTTCCCGAAAACGGCTAAGGTTTTCTCCAAAACTGCCATAGCATAGCATAGATAGCAAAACTAAAGGTTTTTGATCGAAAAAAGCATAATTTTCTGATGATTTTCCTCTTTTTCGACAATTATTTATATATTTTATAAGGTATTTCCAGCCTTAAATGACAAAATTAATTTTCCGAAACCCTTTTGAACTTCGAATTTGGCACAAGAACCTAATAATTTTGTCCAGTTTTTTACCGAAAGTAATTAGCACTATCTTGAAAAAACGACCAGAGCAAAAGTTTACAAAAAAATATTGGGAAAATTCGCGGCCCTCATCGCTCTGAAGATTTATAAAGTTTCTTTAAATTTTCAGGCCGTTCCAGTTTTAACAAAGTTTATTTAAGCAACTTTTTCTACGCAAAAGTCGCATTATTTTTAAATTGTATTTAAAATACTGGCAATCTTCAGGTATTTTCTGTGAAAAATTATAAGATACATTTTATTGAAACACTCGCGCCCTTAACCGATTTGCAAAAATTTTTGGAAAACTTTTGCAGCTTCGAATTATGGACACAACCGTCATAATTATGTCTGGGTGTTTTTCCAAAAATATTTCTCCAAACTGAAAAAGCGAAAGTTTATAATAATTTATTTGGAAAACTCTTGAAAACTGGGGTTTCTTCACTTTTAGGTCAATATTTCTAAACAACGCTGTCTCTAAAGAGAAAAACCACGTTTTTTCAAACGTTTTACTGTAAAATACTGGAAAACTCAATATTTTAAGAAAAAAAATTAAGAGATCGCTTTTACAAGAAAATTCGTCGACTTTATTTGGACTTTTTGTAGTTGTTTGAACAAAGTAGTCAAACGTTACTAAGAAGAAAACGTTGATAACCTTTTTTTAGACGTGAAAATTCCAATCTCGGGTCTCGTAAAGCTTTAACAAATGCCTTATAACTCCCTAACCGATGAGTTATAACTCGTTAACTTAGAGAGAGGGAACAACTCAAAGCGCAACTCAACACAGTGTTACCCAGGCTTACAAGAATATGAAACATAAGTTGCGTTTTAATATTTAATCTGCATAAACATTGCAAACTGCTAGAGTGTTGCATTAAAAAATAGTTTGCCATTGTTGGTGACACAGAAGTAAACACTAATTTCAAAACACTCTTTTAGACAATTTTTTAATAAAGCTAACCAACGCAATTCAATAAATTTCAAATATTTTCAACTTTCAAAATTTCATCTTCTTTATGCCAGCAATATAAAAAATTATGAAATTCCAAAAAACTGTTAGAGATGAGTAAAGAGCGGTACCAGATATAAGTTTAGCAGAGTTGAAACCAAAAGTTTCCTGTTTTCGATGAGTCTTTAAATTTAATCGATTGGATACGAAACTTTCCACTCGTTCTTTATCCATCTCAAGCCTTGAAGATGCCGATATAGAGAACTTCTATATTACACAATCTAGATTGCTTGGAATTTTACTATAGGCGATCAAAGAGTATCAACTTTACTGCTCTATCACTCGACTTCCACCTTTCGGTTTTATTGCATCTCCAATAAACTGTAATTTCAAACAGTGCGGTTTAATCTCATTAGCATATTAACGATGGCAAAATATAGTAATTGCATTGATATCCGTCCATAATTCCATATCTGAGTAGACATTATTGTTGAATTCATGGCATAGTTATGACAACAGTGAAATCGATCTCACAGTAGTTGCGCTTCTTCCATTCCATTCGCTTCCCTTGACAATGTCTGTGACATTACTTGTATTCCTATGCGGGCTGTTAATCGAATCCTGCATAGCAGGAAACGAAAACGCCATGGTAAAAGAACAGATTGTCCCGGAAATTGTCGATACCGCACCGAATGAGGTGGCTGAGATTACTTATCCCAGCGGTGCCAAGGCTAATATGGGCAAGATTTTAACACCAACACAAGGTAAAGTTTCAAAAAACTGTTTTTGTTAATGGGATTTGCAGATATTTCATATCTTCAGTTAGCGGCCAACCGACAATAAAATGGAATTCTGATCCCAATTCGTTTTATACAATAGTCATGGTCGATCCAGACGCCCCAAGCAGAGCAAATCCGTTTATGCGAGAGTGGAATCATTGGATAGTTGGAAATGTTCCCGGTGACGATATTTCCAAAGGTAGAAAGCGTTCAAAATATTCTCTAATTCATGATGGAACTGAAAAAATTCACGAACTCGTCATGATGAATAGATTCTGTTGGATAAAATCTGAAATCTATTCAGATTCTGAAATGTGATGATTATAACCCATGATCAATGTGCACCTTTTGAAAAATGAAAAGTTGCTCGTTCAATAATTTCCAGTATTACTGTTTCAAAGAGTTATACTTCAGATTTGTTCTGATTTATTTTCCTGACTGCGTGTACTTGTTATGATATTCCTATCTTTCCTGGGTGAGCAATCATTTTTACCAATCATGAGGTAAGTTTTTCCGATGTTTTGCTCTCCCAAAAGGAAAATTTTTTTCCTTCAAAAACTGATGAATGTTTTAACACTTGGTGAATTATAAATTTTATACAACATGTTTTAATTGTGAATTGGTGTTTGTAGTTTGTTTAAAATTTTAAATCTGATGATGGCGCTGTTGTCTCGCCGAAACGTAATGAAATAAACGATGTTTCAAAATGTTTACTTCACACTTTGACTGAAACCCAGGAAAGATAGGACTATCATAACTTCAGATTTGTTTAAAATTATCCTGAGATATAATCTTTCTCACCTAGTTAATGCCAACATTATCTGCTAAATTATTACCTACAAAATTGATATAGATTTGAAAATGCTTTGAGCAAATTGACCCTTTGTTTTGTGACCCAAAGATTTTTCTTTTTTGCTGAAAGTTCTCACAGGAAATAAAAACGGAAGAAAAAGTGCGAATTTAATTTATTCCCAAAGAATAATTAAACAAAAATGATCAGGTTTCTTCAATTCTTAGATTTACTTTGAAGATATTGGAATTCTTTCGCATTTTGACACTCAGTAGAACCAAAATTAAATAGTCTTAATGAATCTTTAACACAAAGTAAAACTCAAGAAAAATGTTAAGATGTAGTTTTCTGAAAATTTTGTTTAAACTGCAAGTGTCTTTAGTGACTTAGCTTTTTTATTAAATCCATAATTTGATGATCGCGACTTGGAATAAGGAAAAGAACTACTATTTAACTGTTTTTTTCCTAATTATTTAAGTTATGTTATTTGAACTACTATTTATGCAACACTTTCTTAAAATACATCATTAAAATGTTTTCTAAGTTTGCAAAATTTTAAAAAGTTTACTACTTTTTGAAGGAGCACTGGTTTCAAGAAAGGAAAACTCTAATCAAATTTTTGATTTTCTGAAAAGAACGTACATTTCTTCATCTCTAGTATGTATTTGCGTCTATTTTAAAAAGTGATGGGAATATTTAAACTTTAAACATTTAATAGCTGCAAATAAGTTTTTTCACAGAGAATAACATTTCCATTGAATTCGCGTGAGGGTTTTCAGGTATTCGCCTCTATTCATTTAATCTTATACTTATGTGTATCTGCTTAATTCTGAACCGTTACATAATGAAGGATTAAATGTATACTCACTCTTAACTATCATGGATGAACTCCTAGAGCGTAGAAAACACATTTCCATATTACTATTCGCCATAAAAGTGTTTCATTTTGATTTGAAAACAACATAAATCTTTCATGGTGTCGATCATATTTCCTTCATGTCTGAGTGATGCTTGACTATTTTGTTTTTTTTTTCAATAACATGCAATAAAATAACAGAATGTATGGGCCAAAATGGGATGAAATTAAACAACCTTCCCAATTATTATTAGAGAGAAACTAAATGTTTTAAATTGTTACTAACATTTCAGTTTTCAAGGAGGAAATGTGTTTCCGTTTTTTTAATAAATGTCTATAGTTGTGTGACAGATTTGAAAATTTAGCATTTCATTCAGCAACATTTTTATAAAATTTCTCAAAGTCTAGCACACTTTGGAATAAAGTTTTGTCTCACCTGTTAAGGACACTGTAGAAAGGTACAACTAGAAATTTAAATTAGGGTTTAGTTGCTTAGAATAAGTTAAATCACTGCTTAATGGGCATAATAAATCTAAGTTTGGAATATTGAAAAGTTTCAACGGCCTGGCAATATATTGTTTACTGTTTGTATCAGAAGAAATTATCTTGTAGCATTAGTTCAATTTTAGGTGAAGTTTTAACTGCCTTTGTGAGTTCTGGACCACCAAAAGATAGCGGACTTCATCGATACGTTATTTTCATTTACAAACAAGACAAGGAACTCAGTTTCGACGAACCACGACTTCCCAACAATTCTGCAGATCAACGTGCCAATTTCTCTGTGAGAAATTTCGCTAAGAAATATAACTTAGAAGGCCCCATCGCTGGCAACTTTTACCTTGCGGAATGGGACAGTCAAGTGCCAATCGTGCACAAACAACTAGGAATTGATAATATATAAATTCCTTAAAGTTGCTGTATAAACTTGCAAAATATCAATGTATTAAATTCCAACGGACATTCATAACATGGAAAAGCGTACAAATATAACTAAATATTTTAACTTAAAATCGTTTGTCTTTAAACTGGATATTCCCATAAATTCCTGAAGTAATCATATTTTTACATCACGCTGTTTTACTTTTATTATATCGGTTCGATAAATTTGATTATATTGAAGATGCAAATGCACAATTTTGGAACTTGTTAAAATGTCGAGTTTTGCATTTTTGCTTTGGCTTTTTATTTATTATCGCTTGCGATAGAATTCTCAAAACACTATTCAAAATCCTTGAATTCCAGCCGATTTTTCAATATTATAGACTATAATAAATTAAAATAGGAACCCGATAACAGAAAAAAATCTTTGAAAAATCTATTTTTTATTTTGTAGACTAATTATTACGTTATTGAAAATTGATATAGAAACTAAACTCAAACAAAACGCTCTACTCGTAGCAAATTCTTCACGGATAAACTTCGTCTGGCGAGTTTTAACTTTTCCCATTCGTATACCTATGCATTAAAACATGAACTTACCAACATGTCCATTACATTTCGTGGCATGTCCATTCTGCTGATACAGAGGTGTGTGTCCATTTTGATGGGCATTGCCATTCTGAACTGCATGTCCATTCTGATGTGCATGTCCATTCTGATGTGTATGTCCATTAACTCCATTATGTCCGGCATGTCCATTGGCAAAATGTCCGTTGCCATTAAACATCGCATGTCCATTAAGAGGCGTATTAAAACCGCGGAAGATCGTTTGCGGCATATTAATAAGTCACTAAACACATTCACAAAATGTTTTTTTCTCTCTCAAATGGATGTTAGTTCACATGATGGTTTCACCGTGGAGACATAACTGAAACAAATAAAAAAATTTTTGACTAAACAAGTTACCAAAAAATATACAGGGTGTCCCGTAAGCACATGATCAAAACGCTACTGCGATATTGTTTGAATCAAAGGAAGGCGATCTGACCTAACTTTTATTAACAAAAAATGTCTGGCTCCCTTGCTATTGATGATCAAAGTTCTTCAAAAAAAATTCCTTTTTTGAATTATCGGGAGAATGGTACGATCTATTTTAGTGAAATTCGCTGTGAATTTGCTCTTATGTAAAACTCATATTTTAATGAAACAATCGAGTTCAGCCGTTTTGGACAAGGGGTGAATTCTTGAGTGTCGTGGTACAAAAACTACCAGAACTTTTTATTTGGAAGCTGGAATCAACTCATGTTCTTTTTGTTTGATACACTAATCAATTATTCACAGGTTTGTGCTCTTTGTAAAATCTTGTAGCATTCATAGTTTTAGCACCAAAAAAATATGTCTCTTCTTGCCACTTGACAATGTTAGACATCGTCTTCTTTTGATGCAAGGAATATCGCAGTATCATTTTGATCATGTGCAACATTGTTAAAACTTGGTCACTTTTCATTAACCTTTATTTCAATAACAGTTTAATCAGTTTTTCGTCTTCGGCCTTCGGTTTGATTCAAGTTTTTTATTTAAAGTAGACAATATTTGACTTGCAATATGCTTTTGATTATTCTACTAATTTTCAGTGCGGTGTTTTATTAGATACCAAAACAAGTTAAGAATTCGCGACCATTGCTTGAAGCTGGTGAGGTTCTCGAGCTTATAAGCCGTTATGGAAAAAGAATTATTCTGGATGTTTCGCAAGCATGAGTGGATGACATCTTCAGAGGTGTTTTCGCTTCAAAGCCTACACTGGACTGATGAATACGCTTTGAAGCGAAAAAAATTTTGAAAATGCAAACCTCTCGTGCTTACAAAAAAAGAAATATTTCTTCGGCAGCTTGAAAACCCAAATAGCTCACCAATGGTATATTGTTGCTTGGAAATCTATCTAAATAAAACAGCGTGAGATATTTATTATATCTTTAACTGTTCACGTCTCGCATATTTATTTCCACATTTTCAGCCAATTTAGTAGAGTACATGGAATTTTGCTTGGGCCAAAATATAAACACATTTAAATATAAAAAATGTTTTATAATTTTAATTCAAAAATGAAAGGAAAAATACGCATAATCTGACAAGGATCTCAACAACTAACTTTACAATAAAATGCATATTTAACACTGAATTCAGATTAGCAAAAGTAGAAAATATAAATTAAGTGATTCAGAAAAATCAGGACTTGAAAAGAGGGTAAAGAACATCAAAAATTTTAAATGAAACCACTATTAAAACAATAGAGATTCATCTGTTGACAAAAATTAATCAAAATTTAATAATAACTGCTAATAATAGCAGTCAAATTATATACAATGCAACAATTTAGTTCATGTTATAATTTGTTAACTAATAATATTTTCTGCATGTCTCTGAAGGGTCTTTTCTGAATACATTTTTGATCAATGGTACTCTTAAGACTTAAAAAATATTGGCAAATTTTTCGAAAAACATTGAATGGATTTCAAATATTAATATCCTTGCTTCCAGAAACCTGCTGATATCTAAAAATCAGTAGAATATAGGTAGCTCTCTCAGATTTGTTTCTGATTTCGTTTTTTAGCAGTATTTAAAGCATGATAGAAAAGATCTACTATTATCATGATAGAAAGGATCTATTTTCACCTAAATCTGGGAATAAAATTGAACTAAAGACATATTATTAAACATGAAATTAATTAAATGACTACAGCAAACGAATAAAATCAACCAAAAACCAGAAATAAAATACAGTTGAAAATGAGTAACTTATTAGAATATAAAACACTCTACGTCAAAATAATGTTAATTTTAAATTGAATAAAAACGATAAACAGACCAAAAAATCCATTATCACGATTAAACTGTAACTAAGACCGTTCAGCGTCAAATAAATACTAACACAAAATATCAATATTTAATTTTCATTGAAACTGCTCTTGAAGCGTGACAAATTATTTATAATTTTTCGATTTATCTACCTACATCCTCACTAATTGCAGGTAAAACTCGTTAATTAAAACGCAACATCAATTATTACATAACTCTACCCAATAATTAGATGATAGAAAAGAAGTACAGTTAGAGGTATAACTTGCAGCTCAGCCAAAATGCAGCAGAGCAAAAATGCCACTGACTTCAAGTGCAACGATTCATAAGGCACTTCCTCAACAGGTAATGTTGCGTTCTTAAAATTGAATTTCAAATTTTTTAGAGCCGATTAAAAATTGTGAGACGTGGAAATGAAAATACCCAATTCCGTGTTAGCTGAGATGGCATTCTGAAGAGTAAGGTATTTATAATAATCTAAGTGATTTAAATTTTAGCTTAGTTCTTTGGAATCGGAAGACTACGTAAAAAAGAGCAAAGAAGTATGTGTGATAAATTTACGCTTGAGTTCAGCATGAAACTGGAAAACCCTTGGAATTCTTAAGAATAAAGCATAATTAAATCACTAATAAGACTTATTTCTAAACATTACACGACAATTATTACAGTTCTCAGACAACAATAGAGTCCTAATCAAACTTGTTGGAATGGACTTTTTCAATTATAAATAAGCAACTTACAACTTTGTAAATTGTAATTATAGTAAACAACTTATCCAGTTATCCATTAAAGTGATTACTTTAAGTAACTTTTTAATGTGACGGACGTGAGAATAAATAATTGAACACCGCATCCAAAACCAGACGATGTAAGTGATAAGCATTTCTTTGGTGCGACGAGAGCAAAAATGCAAAGAAAAATTGCCAATTTATCATCTCTTGTTACTGAAAGGACCATCATGTATCTACTTCTAAATAATGTACGGTGGCAAAAACATCAAGTATAAGCGTAAGTAAAATCAAAGTAAAATTAGCGAACATATTGAAGAATGTATGCTATTTTCAAGGTTCATATTATACCAAGTTACAAGAAAAAATTTGCGCTAAAATGCATATGACTACATCTTACAGCAATCATGTCCAACCAAGCCTTCATCTGGCAGGAAAATTAGCAAATTCATCAGCGTTTGTCAAACATGTCGATACCTAACTTTAAATATGTTTTTGTTAAAAAAACACACCCGGTTACAAATCAGGTTAGTCGCCTGATTGCAAAAAAATCCATTCTATAATATTTTAGGTTTGCATGTCAAAGAAAAAAATATTATGGTTGCAAAGCTGCTTTTCAACATATATTAATTGTATGTATCCATTTCAAAGGAAAAATATAATAAAGTACTACAGAAAAGATCAAGAGGTAATACCGACAGGAAGCAAAACCCAGAAAAAGCAAATTCTTATGCAAAACTGCAAAGTTTTACACAGCTCTAGATTGAAAAATCAATTAAATCAGTTCAGTTGAGTACCTAGTAATTACAATAAAAGTAGATTATATGGCACTTATCGTATGTGGAAACATTGTAATGGGAATAATTACGTTTGGTCATCTCGCTAAAAGCTTCAATTACCAGTAGAAAGTGACAAAAACTGTACTTATCTCAATTAGAGAAGCGAGTAAAGGCCAATTACAGGGGCAATTATTGAAAATTGATGTCTAGTGCTTTCTCTGGTACGATTAAACGTTTTGGGTCGGTGTTAATTTTATGCAAAATTTAGAAAAATTAGGTCAACCTCAAATTATCGTTGTTTCTTTCGATTCAACAGGAAGAATTAAAACAATACGTGTTATTATATTTGACATTTTCGAGTTATGTTTATGCTATACCCAACAGGCAGAACTTTTACTTTTTCAATCGCTGTTGCAAGGCAAAATACCATATAAAACAAATTGATTCAGATCGGTAGGAAAACATTGACAATACATATTATTATTACATGACATTATAATCGATGAACTTTGAATGCGGCAAAACCAAACAATGATTGGCTCGCAAAAGAATACGTAAATAGTTTGAGATTTGCAGATATGTGGTCTGAACTGTAGCCAAAAGGCTACACGATTCTATATATTTTTTTCTTAAATTGGGTTTTTCGACTAAAAGCATTGAAATGATTAGTATTTTTTCGGGCAACGTTTGAGATTGGAGCATATATTTTTATCTACGTTTTAATAAAAAATTTTAATAACAAATACTATTATATTTATACTAAAATAT